CGAACTGGATTGGAAAAACTAGACTTCAACATAATTTCATTATTAATTTTGTAAAAATATTAAATTATTATTAAATTGAATATTATGTTTTTTTTATTGCATAATTTCTTTATTTTAACTATTTAAAAAATAGTTATGTTAAATATTTCGTTATTTAAAACACTTAGTTATTTAAATATTTAAAAATACACATTATTTGAATTAATGATATTTAGTTATTTTAATATCAAAATAATATTTTGTTTTTTTTTAATGTTAAACTCTATTATTTGAATAACATTTAATTTGAATAATCTAGAAAATCATAATTTATATTGTTAGTACATAATTTCGTGATGACTTTTGTAAAAATATAAACTATTAATGATATGAATATTATTAAATCTATTAGAATTGTTTTTTGTGTTTTTAATAATTATTACATAATTTCATTATTAATTTTGTAAAAATATTAAATTATTATTAATTTGAATATTATGTTATGATTTTTTTATTTTATTTCATAATTTTGTTAGTTTAACTATTCAAAATATAATTATGTTAAATATTTAGTCATTTGAATATTTAAATAATATCTAAAATATTTAAAAATACTCATTTGAATTTAAGATATTTAGTTATTAAAATATTTAAATAATTAAATATTTTCTCTATAATTATTTAGCTATTTTTAGTATTTTATTATTTATGATATTTAGTTATTGATATATTGAAATAATTATTTTAAAGTTATTTGAATAATCTAGAAAATCATAATTTATATTGTTAGTATATAATTTCATGATGAATTTTGTGAAAATAAAAAACTATTAATAATATGAATATTATTAAATATATTATAATTATTTTTGTGTTGTTTGTAATTATTTTAAAATTATTATATAATTTGTTTAAATATTTAAATAAATTTTAAAATTTTAGTTTAAACTTTCTTTAGATAGATTTAGATAAAAAGTTTTAAAGAGAATAAGTAGAAATTAGAGATAATTTGGAGAGAAATTCTTTAATAAATTAGGGATAAGTTAGAAGATAAATAAGAATTGGAGATGATTTATGATAAAATGGGGGAGGTAGTTTAAGATAAATTTTAGGAGAAGAGATTGTGGAGAATGAGAGCATCTCATTGGTTTAATGATTACTATTTTATATTTTTAAGATAAAAAAATAAAAAAAATAGATAAATAATTTCGAGAGTTATACTAACCGGATATATATATATATATACCCAGAGTCCAGAGAAGAGAAGAAGAACGGAGGTGGTGGGTGCGCATGACGCACAGAGCGCGATTCAGAACAGCAGCTGTCCTCCTATAAATATCCCTTGATTTCAAAGACCCTCTTACGTGTCACATTATCCTCTCCCTTGCCAAGTCGTTTCTCACTTGGCCTTCCACCATGAATCTACTGGTAATTCTACTTTCTTCATCCTAAACATTCAATTCTTGTTTCTGTTTTCTCTCTATCTCTCTCTCTCTTTAATTTTTTTATACACAGGCAATGATTCAACCGAAGAAGAAAGAACCAGATAAGGAATCAAAAGGGCCTGATTTCTGGATTGAAACCTTCAACAATGTTTCGCGCCTGTATAAGTTTCAAGCGGACGGTCGTCTCTCTGTGTGTTTCTCTCTCTCTCTCTCTCTCTCTTATTTTTCTGTTTCGAAGATTAGTGTCTATTGTGTTTCATTTTTGTTTCACCTTTTCTTTTTAATTTTTGTGGAATTCTTGGTAGGAGTTTCTTTTTTCTTTATTTACTTTATTTTTACATTGAGGTAACATTGGGTGAGCGAGTTTGGGTGTTTTTTATTGTTATTATTTATTTTTTTCATTATGAATAGGATTTTGGTTATAGAAACATCATATAAAGTAATTAACGTGCTTTTGGACAAAAAAAAAAAGATCTAATTAACTTGCTGAAGTTTGTGTCTATCAGCTTTCAATATATGTTGAAATTTTCTGGTGCTTTGAGTAACATAACACTTATCTATTCAAGTACCGGATTTGTTTCTTCTTTGTTGTTATTGATATTACTGGAGTTATGGGCAAACAATAAATCCCAATTTGACTTGTACATTATTGCACTCCTTCTAAACTGAGCCTCAAGCTTAGTTTGGAAAGAGTACAAATACAAATATGTACAGTGCAAATACACACAAAATCGTTCAAAATACAAGGTTTTGCACTGTATATATTTGTATTTGTACTCCTTCCAAACTGAGCCTCAGGAACAAAACAGACATCAGCAATCCTTTTATGAATTCAGAGAATTCCAGAAATCAGCACCAAAATCTTCTTTCTTCAGCCCTTGAAACTCTGGAATCAACAACACCCAACCAATAACTGTCGAACTGATGACAGACACCACCGCTCCCACACTTTTCTTTTTCTCCTCTAAGATTCTTCTGTTTCTTTCCTTCCAGATCTCCCAGAAAACAGAAAAGGGAATACAGGTCCATAAAATCTTAGACTTAGCACCTCCTCGGGTTTATAATAGTTGCCCTATGGTGCATTGCTGGGTGAATCAGTATGTGACATCAGAAGGCATTCTTGTCACAATAACACTTTGAAAATGAGCATGTTTGGTAGCTCTATAGGCTGCAGTGTTGATCCATTGGGGTGAACGTGTTCACTTTCTTAGTTGTAGACTTGTAGGCCTGTAGCTGAAAACATCTGATTTTTGGTGTTTGGCTATATGTATTTTGGGGGCCTATCAGCAAAGCATTGTAACAGTCAAATCCAAATTTTATGAAACTAAATTGTATGTGCACCTTGCACAAAACGGTCACATGGAACCATCTTGGTTAGACATATTTTTAGGAATCAAGGGGGATTAAAATCGTGTTGAACTGGTCTGGTATGGATACCTACGCTTGCTTCTTGTATAGGATATAGAAGCAGTGGAGAGTCTCGGCAGAGGTTGTATATGCATTTTCTTTTTTAATAAAATATTCTTTTTCCTTATCAAAAAATTTGTAGAGAGTTTAAACTCATTTGTCAAGTATATTTCATTCTTCTATGTTTTATTTGTTTGAGTTCATGGCTTTGTGGCACTAGTATATTATCCCAAGATACTATTGAAGGTTTTTGGGGTCCATGGGAGTACATTTTAGACACTCTTTCTGCATGTGTCTTTTGCTTTTTACATGAACCAAATCTGGTAAGGAATCATATTTAGTTCAATTCATTTTCTCTAGGATTTATTGGTGACACCATGATTGATTGATAAGCTTATGTTGTTTGAGTTGCTCTCATGAAAATAGAGAAATATTTGGCTTTTCTGTATATTTCTATTGATTCTTTTTGGACTGAGATATACAATGGTCGTGAGATGGTTAAACAGGTGGGTACATATGTCATTTTTGTTCTTCTGTTTCTAGAAACATTGCTTTTTAAACAGAAGTGATGCTCTTATACAAACTGATTGGGCTGGATCTCTGGATATCCTTTGCAGGTGAAGGTTGTTGATGAGTCAAGGCCTGTGATCCATAAAATGGTTGAATCATTTCTCAATAAATTTTTCCCATCAGGATACCCTTACAGGTAACCGCACCATAATTTTATCATGAGCTTGAAGTATATATACATGGGAGACGGTTTCCTAATTAAGTTAAGTAAGGAGCTACCTTGCATGACCTATCCCATTTATGCCACATAGACTGATAACTGATTATGGCCAATCCAAACAGTTCACCAGTTATAGGGCCCTCTGGTTTGGTCAGGTGTTCAATCTTCAGCAACATCAGCCCCATACCCACCTTGTACTGGTTTGGTGGTTTCCCAAACTAAAATAGTTTGTTCAAAGTTTTAGTTTTTTCTTTCTTTTACTATAAAACTTACCCCACAAAGAAAGGCTTGTTGTGGACAGGTGGCAAGTGTTTCACAGCTGACATTTGCCCCATGAATGGAGACCCAACTAGATTGCCTTGTTGAAGATATGTGCATTGTTTATGATCTGACTAGAAGACTCCCTGCCTTATGGTGGTTGTGTTCTGGGTTTTGACTTTCTATTTTTTCCTTGTTGTGCAGTGTGAGTGAGGGCTACCTTAGATATACTCAGTTCCGAGCACTTCAACACCTAACAAGTGCAGCACTATCTGTGTTGTCAACTCAGGTCTTGTTTTTCCTATTGTGCATCTGCACACCCATAGAGGGACTGTAGCCTAGAAAAAAGCATGTAGAATTAGTTTTGTTCCGTTTATAATTCTCAAGAAATAGGTTGTATCTGGCATGCATTTTGAATTTCCCTGTTAAATTCTACGATTTATAGCTATCTTTCATTCATCCATTCATCTTTTTTAGATAATTTTTTCATATTTTCAACTATTTTGAACCATCATTTTATTTATTCAAGTTACAGGATTGTTTTTTTTTTCTTCTATAGCTATTATCTTTATTGTTCTGTAGTGTGCATTTGATCTGACAACATCAATATGAGTAGTAGCTTCTTAATGTTCTTACTCCACTGCAGTCACTGTTATTTGCTGCAGGCTTGCGACCAACCCCTGCACAGGCGACAGCTGTAAGTTGGGTAAGAACAAAATATTTGGTCCAAAAGCAGATATTTTATGATAATCTCTCTCTCTCTCTCTCTCTCTCTTCTTCTTCTTCCTCTTCTTCTTTTGGGAAAATTGCTTAAAATACCCCAGGGTTTCTGGCAAATACTTAAAGTACCCTTATGGTTTCAGAAATGACTTAAACTACCCTTGTGGCTTCTGACAATAGGACAAATACCTCCCCTCTGTTAGTTCTCTGTCACATTCCATTTGAATGTGACATTACGTGACTTGTAATATCTCAAAAACCCAGTTTTTCCCTATTATTTAAACAGAGGCCTCACTGATGACCTTGGTGCAGAATCTATGATGCTGGATAATGGATTTTGGGAAAGTTGTTTTCATGGTTGGCAGATCACTCTCTATTCAGAAATAGGCACACAAGTTCCTTTTTTTTATCAAACTTTTCCTTTTGTAAGAAATGTATAGTTGTTTTGTGTTTTGGGTTGGGTGTATTGGTCTGTTTCTTTCCTGGTACAGAATCTCATTGTAGGGTCTTTTGTATTTGATTTCCTTTTGAACGAATTACCTTACCTTAAAGGGCAGGCCGGTGCACGAGGCTCCAGCCAATGTGAGATCTGGGGAGGGACAGATGTATCCAGCCTTAACCCTGCACATACAAAGAGTCTGTTTCTAAGATTTGAACCCTGGTCAGCCAGGTCACAATAGAGCAACCCAACTGTTGTGCAAGGCCCACCCTCAATGAATTACCTTATTCTTCAAAAAAGTGATGATGGATGCAGTGGAGAAGGTTGAAAAAGAGATCAAGAAGCCACTTTTGATGTCTGCACGTGCATGTTCTTATTCCTCTCTTGGAACCTGCATCTTCAAGTTATCTTCTGAGATGATGGAGAAGATGCCAACTCCGCTGCTGAAGACAAAACTCATACATTTTAGAAAAAGAGAAGCAGCGATCACATTTGTGTGGTGTTTTAAGGGGATGAGCTAGCAGATCTCAGTTTTACATTGGATTTACTGTGCAGGTGCCTGTGCCTCAAGAAGAAGTGAAACAACTTTCACCATAGCCTTCTACTCCTAAGAGGCAGAACTTGACTTGAGAAAGTTTTCTATGTTACTCTGTTGGTGTTGCAAGGAGTTATGATTCGTATTGGACAGCCCAGAATTTCTGGAAGAACCTCTGTCCCCTTCTTCTGTTAAATTGTTTAAGTCACCAAAAGACTGAGACTTCAAAATAGGTGATTTAGCTATCCTCTGCACACAATGCTCCTTATCTTGCAGAGGTTGAAGATGAAACCAAGAAGATGAGGTGTTTGATGTTTACATGATGCCAATGTAGAGGATGGTGTACTAATGAAATTCTTTGGAAGGATTGAACCAGAGACTGTATCTCTCTTCTCTATCCATACCTGTGTTTCTGTTACCATAAATATTTGCCTGAATCCTTAATTCTTTACCTCAAATGCTTCCCCAAAACTCAAACTGTATCTTGTCATGGTTCCTCTCAAACACATCTCCATTCAATAAGAAGCTTGGCATTAGGAGGCCAAAGTATGAAAAACAGTTGACTTAATTGCAAAAGCCCAGTCAGAGGAGCTGAAGAAGGATGCACTTGCAGCTATGGAAACTCAGAAGAAATGAGGGGAATTCAAGGATAAGGAAATGGTTGATGTGAAGTCCTCAGACATCTGAAACTTTATCTGATTATTGATTCAACTCAAGTCACTGTTTTGCATAATTTTTTCATCTGAATCTTGAGTTGACTCAAGGCTGCTTGCTCTCCATTGGAAAGATGGTCAAATAACTTAAAATAAAATCAACCAGCTGGCTGAAATTGGTGAACTGCGAGATTAAATTGGTATTTCTGTTGTTACACAGGGACAAAAGGAAGCTTTAGTGGCGAGCAGTTTTTGATTTTCTTTCAAGAAATTCTTTGTATTTCATTTTCTTAGATCTGTTTTCTGTGCTGGTTTACAGTTGTTGGGTATGCTAGGTCGCAGGGATGAACACCAGTTAGCTCTGGCCCTACAGATCTGGTCTGTTCTAGGAGATTGCAGGGGCACAAGAGGAAGGTAGCTTTGGCCCTACCCATCTGGTCATGTTGTTTATGAAGGTGTATTTTGAAAATTTAAAGAATAATTAAGGGGGTACATTCTGACAAGTATATATATTTCAGAAACCTCAGGGGTACTGTAGTTATCAGAAACCCTCAGGGTAGTTAAGTAATTTTCGTTTTTTTGGGTGGGGAGGTTGGTTTAGTCCCCTTATTGTTCATCTTGATGAAATGCAGATTTTAAAGGATGGTATGCAACATGTGGGCAAGCTAATATGCAGCAACATGGGTGCAAGAATGGATTCTGAACCAAAGAGTTGGAGGATACTAGGTTTGTGTTGTCCTCCATTTCATTTGCTTTTTGCATGGGGCTGTTACCTAATGCTCATCCCAACTATCTATGGTCCTGGCAGATATGGACCTAACCAATGACTTTTTTCTTTTCTTTTCTTCTCTCTCTCTCTCCCTCTCTCTTTGCATGAGAGTTGAAAACACATTCTTTTTTTTGGAGAGAATATAGTAATTTCATTAAAATTAAAGAGGTATAATATGAGATGATGTACAGCTAAAATCAGAACAACTAGATCCACAGATTACATTGGCAGAATTCTGTTGCTAGACTATCAGCCAAAGAATTTAATTCTCTAGGGAACCAATGTAAAGTTACAATCATTGATTCCGAAATGTCTCTAGCCTGCAGCCTCCAAGGATCACTATCTTTCACTCCTAACCAGTCTCCAAGGATCAAAAAAAAAAAAAAAAAAAAGAAAAAAAACAGTCTATAGTGTTACAGAATCTCCTTTGATGGCCAAACTCAAGATACCCAAACTTCTAGCAATTCTAATTCCAGTAAGGGCAGCTAGCACCTCTACCTTTATATACTCAGCAGTCCCAATTGGGCCACTAAAGGCCCAGCAAATTTTTTTTTTGATAGATGAAGGAAAACTTTATTAAGATCAAAACATAAGATAATACAAAGAGTCTTCCCTAGAAAAGGTGCAAGATGCAGTCTCAACATTAATCAAATTACAATTGAGCCCAGAACAAATGCTGCCTATGCACCATTGCTTAGCTAAGAAGTCAGCTATCCCATTAGCTGACCTCCTTTTCCACTGAATCCTTACAGCCATATTGGATGTTAGCTATTTAAATCTTTTAACAGCTTCCCTGTATATCCAAATAACAGTGTCTAGGTTTGCTAGCCAACCAACTACCAACTTAAAGTCTCTTTCTATTATCAATCTGTCCACATTCATCTCTCTAGCCAACTACTAACTTGTCTTGATCACACCCCCAATGCCAGCATCACCTTGGTTTCTGAAAGCACTTCCATCAAAGTTTAATTTTGTCACCCACACATGTCTAGAGACTGGGCCAGATTGGCAGTTAGAATCATATGTGAGGAGTATAAGATGTTCAGTAAATTTCTTTGCAATTCTCCCACTGAAATTCCTTGAAACTCTACAAAATTTGCCACCCATAAATTGCATAAATTAGTGATACTGGATTTTCCTGGTTTCCTGACAATGGAGAAGGATATGTTCAGCTGTTTCTCCCTCACTGTGACATAAATACAGATATGAGGCGAAATACATAATCCGCCCTGGTTCTTTTGTAATAGGTCAAAAGAAGTGTTTTAAAAGCACAAGGCGCAAAAAAGGCACAGGGGCCAATTTGCGCCCGAGGTGCAGGCACAAGGCGAGACGCATGCCTTTTTGAAGCAAGGTTAAAAATACTAAAAATGCTAAAAAATAAAAAAATGTTAGAAAATTCAAAAAAATAAAAAAAATATTAAACATAATATTAATAAAAAATATGAACTTAAGTTTTAAAAAACCTATTATCTAAAATTAAAATACATAAACATAACATGTAAAGTGTATTCAAATGAGAATTTAAAAATAAAATCAAACATAAAACATTTTCAAGCAAGTAAAACCCACAATCTCTTTTTTCCTCAATTGCATTACTTCAAGTAGCTAATGTGATGTAAAACATATTACATTCTTGATTCTACGAGCCACCTTTGTGCCATACCCCTCGAGGCAAGCCCAAACAAGTCCCGTGTTAGGGTCTTAAATTCTTAATTCTCACACAAAAAATAATGATTTTATAATTTTAATTCGCTCGCTCATCGAAGCTTTGAGAACCCCCTATTTACTAATGTTGTTCATTCATTCATCCTAATAAAATATCTTCTTAAAAAGTAATTATTTTTTGTGTGAGAATTAAGAATATAAGACCCTAACATGGACTTGTTTGGGATTGCCTTGAGGGGTGTGGCACGGAGATCTGGGGGTGGAGCCCTCGACCTAGTCGCTAGGTTAAAAAAAAGCAAAAAAGCGTTATTTTCAAAAGGCACACGCTTGGGCTGAGGTGCAAGGTGCATCAGGCGCACGCTTAGGCGCACTAGGCGTGCAACTTTTGAAAGGGCGCACCTAGGACCTAGGTGAGGCGCATACTCTAAAATGTGCCTCGCCTGTGTGCCTAGGCTGCACCTGAGGTGTTCCTTTTAAATCACTGGTCAAAAGTGTTTAATTTCTTTAAGAAATAGTACTTCTTTTCCTTTTTTATCTGTGTGTCAAATATTTTGTCAAGTCATGCCCATATTTTTAAAGGGCAGTAGAGGTGAGCTGAGAGGCATAAGCCTGAAGGTGAGTGGAGCAATTTTGCTTCATGCTTATTGTATCAGCCTCAGGGATGATCTAAAAGGCATTCAGCCTCAATTTTTGAGGGGCATATGTCTTTGCACACCTTGCTTCAATTATTGAAGGCATGGACTCTAGTTGGTCAATCCAAAAGCCAACAAAAAACATTTTCTTAATCAAGGTTCAAAATTTTGATATGATACACCTTGTATTGGGCGTATTGTATTGTATTGTTAGCTTTTCGACACCCCAAATAAGGGGTGTTTTGGAATTTTGGCTCTTTCAGGGGTAGGCAAGCCTCAAACTGACCCCCTAAGACATTTTTGAAAAAAACTAAAAGAAAAGTTATAAAGCATTGAAACACACGATATGCCTGTTCGTGCGTATCGATACTTCAAGCCATGGTCATAATCCTAGTGGGCACTGGATCAATTATAGGATAATTTAGTAGTTGTTGAATGAGTTGCATGGAAGAGTTGTTAATATCTTCATTCATTTATCAAAAAAAAAAACGAGTTGTTAATATCTTTTGCCATAATCACAATCCTTAAAGACCAATTAAAAATCCTTAAAGGTTTCTATTTTTTCCCTCAAGATTTACCATTTCCTATTTAACTCTCTATTAGCATTTATTGTGAGGTTTGTTTTTTGAAAATTAATTTTCTCTTAACTCTTGTTAAATAGGAAAGAAAATGAGGTCAAATTCTAATCACACCTCATGTTTGAATTGACTTGCAATTTCTTTGCACTTTACCGGTCATCACCCCATTGGTGATTCTATGAAATTAAAACTTCCTCTGTTAGAAACATTTCCCGTATCTTCAATATAGAGCCCATTCTTTGGTTAGGCTTATCTGTCTGTAAAATGAAAGCTAGAACTTCATTTTCTCATATGATAAGGGGTACCATCATTATAACACAACTCAATTAACAATCAAGTTTGGTTTCCAAATTTATAAGGCTTTCTAGGCCATGTTTACTTTAACTATCTTATTTGTCAAACCCAATGTAGAATAAAGAGGTCCTTGGAACTCTTGTGCTGGTCCTTGTAAATGGAATGAGTTATAGTTTTATTTAATGGATTCAACTCATCTATAAGTGTAGCTTAACTATTGAGTTAATGGTCTAGACTTAAGTTATTAAAATATTTAAAAAGGGTTATTTTGTGGTCCATCTTATTTAAGTGACTAAGGAATAAGCTGATATGAATATTCAACTCGTCTATAAGCCTGTAACCTAACTATTGAGTTAAGGATTAAAAAGGCTAAGGAGCTGAACATCAGGAAGGTGCTAATTGAGGGAGGTTCAAAGCTTGTTATAAGCTGGCTTCAGAAAGAAGAGGAGGCTGGATGGTGGTTCTACATATATGAGAAGAGGAAGGTTGTTAATTGGCTAGAAGGGATAGAGGTGACTTGTAAGTGGGTCAAGAGAGATGCAAATGCTTTTGCTGATACACTTGCCAAACAAGGGGTGGGAAGGAACAGTTTATTTTGGGCTATGATGTAATTCTTTTGGGGAGGGGCTAAGAGTGTATCCCTTCCCCTTGTACCCTATTCTCTACTTAATATTTGTCTTAATAGTATTTTGCCTTTGTTATTGATCAAAAAAGAAAAAAAACTATTGAGTTAATGATGTAGACACAAAAAAGTTATTACAATATTAAAAAGGTTATTTTGTGGTTCAACTTAACAAGTGACAAAGGAATAAGCTGATATGAATTAATAAATAATAGCAAAAGTAATTAGATAAAAAATACTTGAGGCAATATTAAAACACCTGAAAGAGAGATATGAGGTATTCTTTATCACAATGGGACTTCACCAAGGCCCATCTTTTAGCCCTTATTTGTTTGCATTTGTCATGAATGAATTGACTAAACATATTTGGTAGGAAGTCTCATGGTGTATGTTATTTGCTCATGACTTAGTATTAATTGATGAGACTATAGAGGGATTAGATGCAGAATTAGATTAATGAGCATATGCCTTAGAAACAAGAGGTTTTAAGCAAGGTAGGACTTAACTAGAATGTATCCAGTATAGTTTAGCAATGATAGGAGTGGGAATCAAGGTGCAATTAGGATTAGAGATCAAGAGATATCTCAATGTGACCTCTTTTGCTACTTTGGTTTAATAATCCATAAAAAGGGATAGATTGAGGAGGATGCCACCCATAGAATTAGAGTGGGTTGGGCAAAATGGAGGGGTGCATTTGAGTCCCATGTGGTAGTAGAAGATTGGGCTAAAAGTGAAATTTTATAAAATGGTTATAAGACTATCAATGTCATATGGAGCAAAGCATTGGTAGAGGATGCTTTTCTGTCATTAAGATGTGGAGAAGGCTAGTGAATTTTGAAGCAACAAATTTTATTTCTGAAGAGGCCAGAGTAGGTGTGGAGATCCCTTTAAAGATTAGGGAGCTGAACAAGTCTTGGGTATTTTTGGTAGGTTCAAAGTCTGATTGGCCTAGAACTTTATTGAGGTTGCCTTGCATAGGGATAAAAGCTTGGAATGGAAGAGTTTTAAGGAAGTGGGAGGAAGAAGATATGAAGTGGAGAGGAGGAATGGAAGGGGTAACTTCATTGCATTGCTTGAATTTTTCGGGCAAGGAAGAAAGTAGTTGGTATTCTTCCTTGAAGGAAGAGAAGGAGAAGGGTGGGGTTTAATCCCCAAAATTTTAAAGG